AGCATCATAAAGGTGTGTGTGGTGTGCAGGTCGGTGTTGGATGGACGCACTTGAGCTGGCTCTGAAATGCTCCAGTTTGCTGAAGAGGACGATGATCAGAGAAGGGAAAGAGGATCCGCCGCAGACAGCAGAGCATTCACACATCAACTTCTACAGTCTGCTGCGCGCGCACAACATGCAGGGCTTTCAGTGAGTCACACACACACACAGCTTTCATGTTACGCTTCTTTAGATCAATATTTTATTGAGAATAATTAATATTTTTAATGCTAAAAGTTTACCAGGCACTGCATTTGTACCACCCTCTTTTTTTAGACAGGAGTGCTGATAGTTTGGACTTCAACTGTAGTCTGAAGTAGGATATTCTTTAACGCAGATGTTGTGTTTGTGTGATCCGTCAAGGTTCAATGACAGCGACCAGTTTAAGGATCCTGACCTGTACTCGGACAAGTCGGACCGGGAGAACGAGCCGGAGCAGGAGGAGTGGGAGAACGAGGTGATGGAGAAAAGCGAAGAGAGCGACAGCGACACGTCAGAGCGACAGGAAGACTCGTACATCGACCTGGATCCCAACGAGACGCTGCGAGAAACCATGTACATCGAGCAGAGCCACGAGGAGCTCGGAGAGGTGCGGGAGCATTATAGAGCCTCTTCACAAGATAGTTGTGACGTGTTTAACGCTTATTAGCATCTTAAATATGTCTTTAATATACTTTTCTTTTAAAGTATGAACATTTCTGTGTATTTCTATTTGTTTAATATCATATTTGCATCAAATCGACAAGTATGCAAATGAGCTAATTATCATAATGAATAATTGAAGTGCTTGAGCTCATTTGGCTGCAGTGAGGTGTTATTGACGCACAGATGCTAACTCCATACTCAGATTATTTTAGCGTCAGGCAGCTGGGCCGATGAAGTGGATATGACACAATCTGGTCCTTCAAGCTGTGTGTGCGTGTGTGTGTGTGTGCGTGTGCATGTTTCTGTGTGTATGCATATTTTTGTGTTACTGTGTGCATGTGTTTGTGGATGTGTCTGTGTATGTATATGTGTTTACATGTGTGTGTATATGTGCATATGTATGTGTGTGTCTATAGGTACATGTTTGCTTGTGTTTGTGTTTGTGTGTGTGTGTGTGTGCATGTGCGTCGGTCTGCATGTCTTTGTCTGTGCATATTTGTGTGTGTGTGTGTGTGCGCGCTCATTTATCTGTTTGTGTGTGTGTTTGTCTAGGTGCATCTGTGTGTGTTCGTGTGTATGTGTGCACACATGCATGTGTATCTGTGCGCATGCATATTTTTATTTATATATGTGTGTTTGTTTGTGTTTTTCAGGCCGGTGAAGCATCTCAAACAGAGACGGTTTCAGAAGAGAATAAATCTCTGATCTGGACTCTGCTGAAGCAGGTTCGACCTGGGATGGACCTGTCGAAAGTGGTGCTGCCAACTTTCATCCTGGAGCCTCGATCATTCCTGGACAAACTCTCCGATTATTACTATCACGCAGACTTCCTGTCTGAGTAAGAAAACGTGCATTCAGATTTAACATTCGCAGTTTGCACAGTTTAGTTTTAACCCTGCTTCAACACACAATTACCTGTAGGTTTCAGACAAGCCTAAAGGACTTACTTAGTTTGATCAGGTGTGTTTAATTAGGGTTTGAACTAAACTGTGCAGAGCTGCAGCCCTCCAAGAACTAAGTTTGATGCCTGTAAATAAAATAAAATAAAAATAATAAATAAAATTTAATTAAAATAAATTAAAAAATTTTACAAGAGTGTAACAGACAAAATTTGGTCAAAATATTTTTTTTTACTTAATAGTTTTAATAGCAAATTTATTTTGTCATATATTTTGTCAATATTTGACTAGATATACAGTATTTTAAAGTAATTTAAAGTGTAATTTAAAGGGTTAATTAGGTTAACTAGACAGGTTAGTATAATTAGGTGGTTTATTCTGTAACCAATAAAATTACAAAACAAATGTCACATTTGCTACCCGGGAGGTATGTATTTGTGCAGTTTTTATTTTCGCGAATCAGCGAGAGGCCGATGTGCGTATGTTTTCGCGTCCCGAACGCTGCTCACGCTGTTCTCGCTTGAAAAGCTGCCGGAGGCTGCTGTCGAGCGACCGTCTGTCCGACTGACTGACCCTCCTCCTCCTTCTCTAAAACCAAGCAACGATTTACAAAAGCCGTCCAGAAAAGAAAAACAAAAGCCCTCGTCCGATCTTGACCAAGTTTTCGGATCTCACCGAATTCTCGCCCCGTCACAAACTCGTTCGCTTTTATTTTTTGGGTTCTGTTTTTCATCTTACCTGATTTCTGGAACCGCTCTTCCCCGGACTCAAACCTAGTTATCTCCGCGGCCGGCTCCTTCTCCCCAAGCCTCCGCTCCACTGATGTAACACTACGAGCTAAGCGGACAAACTGGTTGCGGCGGGAAAGCCCTCCACATGGATGTGAGTCATCAGTGAAACGAAGAAGAGGAGCAGCGTCACACAGCCCCGTATCATTCGCTCGAAAATAATGAAATGCGCCATACGTACCTCCGGCCACGTAAATCGCGGTCTCCAGAAATGTCCGCGGGGCTACGTTTTCAGAATGAGCCTGGGTTGTTGTTAATAGTAGTTATTGCACTGTGAGTTAATAAGTTAACAATGAGGGCCTTTATTTTCACTAATGTTAATTAACATGAACAAATAGTGTAATAAATATTTTGTTCATTGTTTGTTTATGTTACAGGGTATCTGCGGGGTCTTAAATAGTCTTAAAATGTCTTAAAATGTCTTAAAATGTCTTAAGTTTCAAAAACCAAATTTTAGGCCTTAAAGTCTTGAATCCACTTGAATATTGTGTTGTAGGCCTTAAATCATTTTAAACAGGTCTTAATTTTTTCTGTGTCCATGTCAAGCTACCCGATTGGGCCAACACCCATCCAATCACTAACAATGTATTTCAATAAAACTTTTAAGAAACATTTATTCATTAACTCTGTTTACTTAATAATATGGTTTAATTATCTTCCTTACAGTAACATTTGTTTTTATTACAGATGTTAAGTTTTTTAAGGTTTTAACTTGGCCATTAAAAAATCTTTAGGGGTTAGCCTTGTGTAAGTGTGAAATTTCATTCGTTATGGTCTTAAAATTGTCTTAAAAAGTCGTAAATCTGACTCGATGAAACCTGTAGAAACCCTGTGTTAGTAAATGCATTACCTAATGCAACCTTCTTGTAAAAAGTTAATAATAATAATCAATTATAACTAATATAATGCTAAGTTAAGGAATCAGATTTGATCAATTTATTGTCTATCATCACATTTTCTGTCTCATAACTGTGTGTATTTATGTGAGCAGAGCGGCGGTGGAGGAAAACGCCTATAACCGAATGAAGAAAGTGGTCAAATGGTACATTTCTGGATTCTACAAGAAGCCAAAGGTAAACATGCATGCACCATAAACCCCTCAGGCATCTCAAATCAGTCATTCTGTCATAACATCATCATCCTTTTCTTCACTGGCAGGGTTTGAAGAAGCCGTACAACCCCATTATTGGAGAAATGTATCGCTGTTTATGGATCCACAGCAGGACCAACAGCAAAACCTTCTACATCGCAGAGCAGGTACAGCAAACTGTCTGTGTTTTAGAGCTTGTTTCACGCTTTAACCTGAGCTCAAAGGTAATATAGTATGTCCTGTCAACCATCTCAAGAACAAAATACACTAGTTAGTTGTTATTTTAATTAAATATTTAATTAGAATTAGTTATTAGGGTGGCATGGTGGCTCAGTGGTTAGCACTGTCACTTTACAGCAAGAAGGTCACTGGTTCGAACCCCGGCTGGGTCAGTTGGCATTTCTGTGTGGAGTTTGCATGTTCTTCCTGTGTTGGCGTGGATTTCCTCTGAGTGCTCCGGTGTTCCCCACAGTCCAAACACATGCGCTATAGGTGAAATGGGCTGTAGTGTATAAGTGTGTGTGGATGTTTCCCAGTACTGGGTTGTGGCTGGAAGGGCGTCCGCCACATAAAACATATGCTGTAATAGTTGGCGGTTCATTTCGCTGTATATATTAAGTGTAAATGAAATGCTAGATCTTGAAGTTCCTAAAGATTCCCACCCCTAACACACGCTCTCTTCTCCAGGTATCCCATCATCCTCCAGTTTCAGCATTTTACGTCAGTAACAGGAAGGATGGCTTTTGTCTCAGCGGCAGCATCTTGGCCAAGTCAAAGTTTTATGGTAAGACAGAAAATGTACTGTATTAAATGAGGATGAATGAATATGGGAATTTAGGCTGATACCGATAACCTTTCATATTTGGAGGCCAATAACCAATATGTAAAACGATAAATAAATATATATAAATATATATACACACACAAATAGTATAAAGTGTGGAAAAAAATCTATAATTTATCAGACTGATGATATTACAGTTAGCTCTTAAGATCCCATGACCAGTTTCTTTTGTCTGTCCCTCGGTCTCGCTGCAAGTCAAAGGGTGATCGAGCTTTCAGTGTTGCGGCCCCAAGGCTCCCTCTGAACATCAGAATCTCTCCTTCTTTGGATGCTTTTAAATCTAACTTAAAAGACTTATTTTTACTCTCTTGCCTTTGACTGATGCATGCATGTTATTTTTTATTATTTATATTTTAGTATTACTTTAAATATATTTTATTGTATTTTTAATACCAGTTAGTTTTATTGTCTAGTTTATTTTATTATAAAGCACTTTGGATCAACTACGGTTGTGTAAAATTGTGCTCTATAAAAAAAGTTTGCCTTGCCTTGCCTAGCATTTATCGGCTGATATCAGCTTGACCGCCGATATATTGTGCATCACTAGTATTAAGATGGGACACTGCAGGTTATGTTCAGTACACTTCAAGGTTGATTTTTTTGGGGCTTTTTAGCTATTTGTAGAGTGTTTTACCATACTTTACCAATTTCAGTCTAGATTTCAGTCACTATAATTATTTTTACAGGCCTTTTTTTTTTCTTTCTTCTTTCACTGAGCAATTATTTCGGCTTTTTTTACACATACCAAGCATTGTTTTATTTATGTCTTTATTTTGAAAGTATTTAAAGCAGGAGTTGTTCATGCATAATTTGCATTATAACATACTGCATTTTATTTAAAAAATATTGTTCAGTGTTTTGTTTTTCGCTGTTTGCAATGTTTTCTGAGTAATAAAACTCTTTTGTAAAAATACCAATTTAAATCCTAAATTCATCCAATGTTAAAGTTGTTCTGCTAGAAATGTGTGTACGTCAGTGCATATTTAATTGAATCATGACACATTTGATATATGTAAATATAACATTTTGGAAAACGTAATAATATACTAAATTATTGCAATTCTTCATGCAATTAATCAACTGGGGGAAGTATAATGGTAAACATTAGTTCATATTTCTATCCTATTTCGATCCTGTCCTATTTACCTGCAGTGTCAGGTGAAGAACCATAGGCCTGTCCTGATATCTATTGTTTGTTGTAGGATTTATTGGACCAAAATATACTGTGATGAATGATATTGGTGTCATGTTAAGAGCATTTTATGCCACTCATTCTATAATTTACATTTAGTCATTTAGCAGACACTTTTATCCAAAGCGACTTACAAATGAGGACAAGGAAGCAATTTATACAACTACAAGAGCAACAATGAATAAGTGCTGTAGGCAAGTTTCAGGTGTGTAAAGTGTAAGAAGCAAAACATTAGTAATTTCTTTATTTTTATTTTTTTGTAGTACAGTTTGCGGTGGAGCCAGAGAGACTAAATAGTTGAGTTTTTAGTCGTTTCTTAGACAGCGAGTGACTCTGCCGTTCTGATGCAGTTAGGGAGTTCATTCCACCAACTGGGCAGATTGAACGCGAGAGTTCGGGAAAGAGATTTCTTCCCTCTTTGGGATGGAACCACGAGGCGACGTTCATTCACAGAACACAAGTTTCTGGAGGGCACATACATCTGCAGAAGTGAGAGCAGATAAGAAGGAGCAAGGCCAGAAGTCACTTTCTGACAGAAAGTCACTTTCTGACAGAAGTCAGCAACTGGCAGCCAGTGCAAACGGATGAGCAGCGGAGTGACATGTGCTCTTTTAGGTTCATTAAAGACCACTCGTGCTGCTGCGTTCTGGAGCAGCTGAAGAGGCTTGATAGAGTTAGCTGGAAGCCCGGCTAGTAGAGAGTTGCAGTAGTCCAGTCTGGAGAGAACAAGAGCTTGAACAAGGAGTTGAGCTGCATGTTCAGATATGAAGGGTCGGACCTTTCTGTTGTTACAGAATGCGAATTTGCAAGATCGAGCAGTTCTAGAAATGTGGTCAGAGAAGTTTAGCTAATCATCAATCGTTACTCCAAGGCTTTTCATCATTTTGGATGCAGTAATGGTTGCCTCATCCATCTAGATTGAAAAGTTATGATGAAGATGCCAAAATGACAATATAATAGCATTGCAATGCAAGTACACTCTTACAAACAACCCATTATATTTCATTCTGAAGTATATTTTTTATTTTATTATAGTCATTTTAATAATCAGGCATTGGAATCGGAATGTCAAAACGCATATCCTAAAATAAATAATATAAATGTAAAAACTAAAAAAGTGCAAGGTGAAAAGTAACAGAGGCTGCGATATCTGCTGCCAGATTTTCATGAAAATATACTAATAACCATATTAAAACCGTGTTTTAATAACCATATTGACACTGACATCTCCAATAGAGATAGAGCTCAAATGTTGCTAGAATTGATTTTTATGTATGGGCGATGTATATTGCATCAAAAAGGATTGAGTTAATGTCAATGTGTTGTGCAATAAGTCCATATATTAATTATTGTGACAGGCCTAAAAAACCAAATACGTCAATGACTTTGATTACAATGAAAAAATAAATGCATGAAGTCCAGTAACACTCCTGAGTTTTTCCAATGAGTATTTCATTGTGCTAGTTATGTGTGCTTTGTTATTTTCGTTTAACACACATGGCTGCTGGTGCATTTAATGTTGTGCTTGTCAGGAAACTCTCTGTCGGCCATCTTGGATGGTGAAGCGAGACTGACGTTTCTAAACCGAGGGGAAGACTATGTGATGAACATGCCGTACGCTCACTGCAAAGGTCTGTCCATGAACACACACACACACACACACACATACACATACACATACACACACACAGATACTCTCCACTAACCCTGTGCTGTTGTCTTCTGTAGGGACTCATCTAGGTATGTTAACATGTAATTTGCACTCATGTAGATACAGGTG